GCTTTGTTACCCCGGGTAATTTTTTTTTTTTTTTTTTTTGAGACCAAGTCTCCCTGTTGCCCAGGATGGAGTGCAATGGCAGGATCTCAGCTCACTGCAACCTCTGCCTCCCGGGTTAAAGCAATTCTCGAGCCTCAGCCTCCTGAGTAGCTGGGATTACAGGTGCTCACCACCACGCCCAGTTAATCTTTGTGTTGTGTTTTTGGAAGAGATAAGTGATGGGGTTTTGCCATGTGCCCAGGCTGGTCTTGAACTCCTGGGCTCAAGTGATCCACTCGCCTCAGCCTCCCAAAGTTCTGAGATTACAGGCAGGAGTCCCATCACTGGGCACAGGCTGGTATTTAACTTTAGGCTTCAAGAAATCCTCCCACCTTGGCCTCCAGTCGCGGCCTCCCACAGTGTTGGGATTACGGGGGTGAGCCATGGCACCCGGTAATCAGAGACTACTGCTGCCCACTCCATCTTGGTTGTGTTCATGCCAGGCTGGGACTGGATTATAACGTATTAATATAAGGTAACACAGTGTCTCCTGGGTCTTGTCATTTTAAGGGTGCGTTTATGTCCATCCCCTCTGTATCTGCTAAATAAAGGCTGGGAAGCTAGAGTGTGCAATAAGTTCCACGGCCCTGGGTTTCTAGATCCCTAGTAGGGTGTGGTCTCTGGAGGTTGGGGATTGGGACTGCATCCCTTCTCCCTTATCCTTCAGCATTTTCTTCCCAGATGGTGACCCTCTGACCTCCAGAATGTTCTCCCTCACTCTCCAGCTGGAAGCCCCAGGAATCTAAGGAAGAAGGGCTCCAGTTTCTTCATCTGTAAAATGGGGCTAATAACAGCACTTACTTCCCAGGGTTATTGTGAGGAATCAGTGAGCTGCTACCTTCAAAGAGCTTAGTGCTTGGCACACAATACATTCCTTACTGTTAATATTACCAAACGAAGCATTCCCAGGAGTTAGGATCTAGTTAGCAGAGCTCCCTCCCTGTAAAACCCGGGCTGCAAGAATTATTCCCCACAAGCAACATTCTTTCAACTTTTATAAGAAACTCCAAGAAGTCTATGTGGCTCATTTTAAAGTCCCCGGGCATGCATTCAACCACCCACAGATATTTAATGATTGTTTGGGGGGGAGGGCACTGTTCTAGGCCCTGAAGGCACAAAGATCAGTAGGACCCACTTCCTGTCCTAGGGAGGAGACTCAGACAGACCGATATTCACAATTCAGCCGGGCACGTGGCAAGGCCACCCAGAGATTGTGAGGACAGGAGGGCATTTCAGAGCAAGGCTGCATGGTGTGACAGGGCAGAGGCAGGGGTATTTTGGGTGCTTGGGGGAAAGGCAGGCTGTATGGGAAGAATGACCACACATTCCCCCTTTAGGGTGTGAGGTTCATTGGGAAAGATACGTTAAGCTCTAAGAGTGAGAAGCTGGCTATGTATTTACCCAGTAGACTGAGAACCTTCTCTGCCAGACCAGAGCGGGGGTGGGGCTGGGGGTGCATTAGACCTTGGACAGAGCCGCTGCTTTCCTGGATGGGTGGACTGTCCAATGGAGGAGACACTGATAAGACGAGCATTCACAGATTCCACGCCCCTCTCACACCCACCTGCTCCCCTCCCCCCCACCCCTGCTGCTAGCGCGAGGTACCCAGGAGCTGGATGGGATGGAGCCCAGGAATCAAACTCTGGTCCTAGGTGGGGGGAGGGGGCAAGCTCCAGCTCCCGGGTGGGGTGTGGTCTCCAGGGATGGCATCCTCAGCCCCGGGGATGGGGACTGCACCCCTTTCCTCTTTCTCCTTCAGCGAGGTCTTCTCAGGGGATGACCCTCTGACTTCCAGACTGTTCCCCATCACTCTCCAGTGGAGGCCCCTAGGCAGGGGCCTAGAGAGGAGGGCTCCAGAGGCCTTTGGTTTCCACGCATCTGGGAGACCGGGGGTGGGCTGTAAAAGACTCTGGGGTGCCTTGGGCGCTTTTGGAGAGCTCAGCTAAGGCCGGGGCCAGAGTCAGGTCCACGGGAGAGCAGGGCCGGGATGTTGGTGCCTGGTCCAGGAGAAGGGAGGGGGCGATGGGCAAAGGGGTCAGGCCGAGGGAGCAGGCGGGGCATCGGGAGTTGAGGGCGCCGAGTGGGGGTGGGAGGACGAGGGGTCCGGCCGGTGCAGAGGGGGAGGCGGCCCCCGGGGAGGGGCACGCTATGTCTTTAAGAGCTGCCTGAGCGCAGGTTGCAGCTGCCTGGCCAGCCCGAGAGACAGCGGAGATTCATTACCCGCCGACACAATGACCATTGATGGCCCCGTGGCGTTATTCAAATCCAGTACCAATTGCAGCCGAGCCCCTTTCTCCGCGCCAGGCCCGTATTGTTGGAGCGGCCCACTAAAAGCCCGCCCCGGCCCCGAGCCGCCAGAGGCGCCCGCTCGGGTTCAGCCCTGCGCCTCGCCAGCCCGCCGGCTCCCAGTCGGGCTCCCCGGGCGCTGCAGGTGACCCGGCGGCGCATTCCAGCACTCCCCGCCGCCCGGGCCACCGCCGCCACAGCCACCGCCGGCGCCCCGGCCGCAACTCAGCCACAGGAAAGCGGAGAGCGCCCGAGCCGGTGCGTGCGCGGGGCTGGGCGGGGGCGGGGGACCCACGAATCCAGCAGCCCGGACCCGGGGCTCGGAGACGCGACCCGGCCTTGGGCTCCTGCCTTCTGGATTTCCGGAGAGCCCAGGCTAGGGGCAGGGAGAGGGGAGTCGGGGTTCCCCAGGCCTGACAGAGGAGAGTCCCCCCGACCTGGGGCGGCGCTGAGACCCAACGCGGGCCACTCCGGGGACTCCGGGCCGCGATCGAAGGAGCCACGCCTGGGGCGATGGGGATCCCCACGCAGGGTCGGGATCCGCGTGCTTGCTTGTCCACCTTACCGCCGGATGGGCAACCGCTGCTGAGCGCCTGCAAGGTGGTCCGACGCGCTGCTCCTAGATGTCCTGGTCTGGCGCTTTTTAGGAGCGAAGCGGAACCCGGCAGGAGACCAGGGCCCTGAACTCAGGGGCTTCGCCACTGATTGTCCAAACGCAATTCTTGTAAGAGTCTGCGGCCAACCGAGAATTGTGGCTGGACATCTGTGGCTGAGCTTCGGGCGCAACAGGGGCGGGGGCCGCAGGGACGGAGCTCAGCGCGGGCGAGACCTCTCGGGGCGGCGGCTGGCTGGCCCCAGCGCGAGGATCGCGGCCCCGGCCCGCGCGCACCGGGACGCCGGTCCCTGCCACCAGCGCCGCCATCCGCATCCTCGTCCTCCTTCCTTCTCTTTCTCCTCGGAGGGTGACCAGTACCGGCCGGCGGGGTCCTCCAGTCGATCGCGTCGTTTTTCCTTTCAAATTTCGGCCGGAACGCAGCCGGCACGCAGCGACGGGGCCGAAAGTGGTCCGCCCTCAGCCCGAGCCGCAGGAAGTCGGGGGTGAAAGAAGAGGCTGGCGCAATGCGCCCGCTAACTCGTTTCGTATTTGTTCTAACTTATCACCCCAATACTCCTACCTAAACAAAACAAATCCTCAGCCAAGTCCTAAATCCCAAACAAATCAATCCCTCCCGAAAGCCCCTCAGGACGGACCGGTGGGCTGAGCCTCGTCCAGCCGCTGCCAGGGTCCGACGGCCAAGCGTCGCCAGCGATGCGCTCCAGCCGGGCAATCACCTCGGCTTTGGAAACAGAACTTGGAAAAACGAATCCTTTTCATTAAAGAAAAATCTTCGGAGATAGCGGGGTTTTATTTGTTTATTTCCTCAAAAGCAGGGATCAGGAATTCCTTGGGAGAGGGGTGGCTCGGAGTTGCTCAGGGCTGAGTCCAGGTCACCTGTCCCCTGACCCCTTTCCAGCCTGGGGCTAAAAATGACCTGAAATCATCTGGAGCGCCTTGGCCATGGGCAATTTCAACCACAGTGCTTGCACCCGAATGTGCCAACAAATCCGGTTTTCCCAGCACCTCCTCCTACCCTACTCCTCAGCATTAATTGGGGTGTGATGTGGGAGAAGGGATATCCCACATCACCCCTTCCACTCCTTGCAGGCAGGGAAAGGGATCCTAGTGCTCAGTTTCCAGGACTTGCAATCTGGGGTGTTCAATCAGGTGCACTGATGGGCCACTTCTACAGCTCAGGGGGCTGGAGATGGGGAGGGACCTCCAGGTTACACGAATCGGACAGGCTGACCTAAAAGTGCAGCTGTAAAGGGCTGTTGCAAGTCTCTTGGTCCGTTCCCTAACATGGACACCCCGACCTCAGCGCCTGGTGAGGGTTGGTCATATAGCCTTTCTGGACAGCACTCAGACCCCAACACTGGACTTAATTTGCACCCAGACCAGCTCCTCCCCATAGTCTCAACATAGCTGCTCCTACTTCACACAAGCCCAGAGGGCCTCGACCTGGAGTAGAGCTGGAGAAAAGTCCACCACCCAGTGGGTCATCTATCCTCAAAAGAATGATGTGCACACCCTGTCCCCTAACACTGCTGGGACAACCTTTCGGCACTTTCATCTCCACAGGGTGAGAAATTCCACCGTAAATTATTGACATCGAATGAAAAGCAACATTTCGGGTGGGATGATGCTTTTGGTGGGTTAATGTTAGCGCCCTAATTTTCTTGTGGGGTCTACCTCCAGCAAACAAAGCTCTTTTCTTCAGGTCATGGGAAGGAAAGAACATGGAAAGGGGGGCTCAGCAGTCTCATCTATGCCACCCCCATTCTGGGTTCTGAGGCTGCTGGCTGCAGCTGGTGGGACAAAGCCTTGGACAGGCGGGTGGGAATGCATCCTGGGACCCAGACTGGTCAGCACAGACTGGCTCTGCCACCCCCTTCTCCAGATGGCTCTTTAGACTACCCCTCTCAGATCATCTGAGTGTTCACCCCCACCCCTCTTCTGGGTGAAGGGTGAAGGGCAGCTCTGAGGTCCTAGGCTGAGGATGAAGAGGTTGTATCAAAGACCATGGCTGGGGGGATATGAGGTGCCACCCGTTTCCAAGGATGAAGCTCCAAGCAAGGCTAGCAAACAACCTAGTCTTTTATTTGCCCAAGGCCAGCTGTTGCAAGCACTGAGGCCCCAAGACTTCCAGAAGGGAAGGGGAGGAGGGGCAAACCACTCTGCCTACCAGGTGCTGCCTGCCCCATCCTGCTTCCTGCAGGACATGGGAAGGAAGAGAAAATGGACATTTGTGCCATCAAGTATCTCCCCAGTTTTTGGCCACTATAAATATTCGGTTGTTACAGAGGAAGAAACTGAGGCACACAGATCCCCCCAGGCTTCTACTTGCCAGTCCAAGTTTTAACACACTCCCTCCCCTCATCTTTACCTCCAGCAGAATGAGCTGTAGGCAGCTTAGGGAGGGTCTCAGGAGCCCATCTGGTGGCCTGTGGAGAGGGGGAGGCCAGCCAGGGTCAAGGGCTAGGAGTCGGGGGAGCAGAAGGAAGGGTGTGGCTGGAGGAGCAGCTGCTGGGTGGGGGGGCTCAGCATGAATAGGGGACCCCAGCTGGGGTTCTATAATGGTATCAGCAGGGGACAGGCAGAGCCCTCAGCTGTCCAGACAGGGAAACTGAGGCTGAGATGCCTCCAATCTTTGGGTAGGGAGGGGCCTCCCTTCAGCTATTCAGGTCCATTTATCTTCCCTGTGAAGACGCTGGCTCTGGGACTGGAGCTCCTTGTCAGCGGTCACTCCATGTTTAGATTGAGGTACAAGGAGCGGAAGGTAGCCAGGTCACCTGGCCACAGAGCCCCCTTCCACTCTTGACAAACCAGAGGGGCACCCTCCCCCACCACAGCTGCTGGAAAACGGAGTGCTGGGCTCTGGCGCCTGCCTGCCTTCCCCTGCTCACGTGCTTGAGAAAGGCTCATTTTTAGCACCTGGCCTCTTTTCCCTGCCTGGAGGGAGCTTGGGAGACAGAGCAGGGAAGAAGGCAGCCAAGGGGGACAGGGAGACCTGGAAGCAGGGCCCCGGGGGATGTTTGATTGCTTTGTTCTTCCCTCTAAGGGTGCCCAGGCCCAGAGAAGGGCCCTCAGCCGCCATGCAGAGTGGAGATGAAGAGGACGCTGTCCTGGTCCTGAAGCTGATAGTCCAGCTCACCCTGGTGCAGGAGAGAGGGGAGCAGGAGACCCTCAGGGCCACCTTCCCACTTCTGCCCAAGGAGCTGGGAGAACAAGGGGTGAGGGCTGGCTGCTCTGGAAGAGACGGACTCTACCAGAAAAATGGTATCCTGTATCTCAACCTGCAAATCTGCAGGACGGGGCGGGGGGGCGGTGCTCCCATGTCCCCAGCTATCCATCCCTTCCTCACCTGGGGTGGGAGACTCCAGCAGCCTCAGTGTGGGGCTGCAGTGGGGCGGAGGATTACCCAGCCACTCTATGGGCCTGAGGAGAGGCCCAAGGCTTTCCCACTGAAGCAGCAAGGGCAGGGGATCGGGGAGGGATGTCCCCCAAGGTACTGACCAGTAGCTCCCAGTCGGCATCGTTAATCAGCACCAGAATTCCTGGCCGCCTGTGGGAAAGATGGTGGTGAGTAGTAGGGAGTGAGAGGCAGGAGGCAGAGTTCCACAGACGGAGAGAGGCTGAGAGCTTAGGGCTGCAGGAGAGGGTGCCGGGGAGCCTGCCTACTGGGGTCTGGCTGAAGCTCTCCCAGGAAAGGGAGGCTGGTCTGAGTGTAAAGGAAACCAGGTCAGACAGTCATGCATGGCCTTTGTAGCCAGATGGAAAACGGGTACAATGGCTGGCCAGCACCACCACCCTGACCGTGGGAAGGCCATTCTGTTTCTGAGTACCAGGTTCCTCATCTGAAAATGCGATAAGGGATAGTGTCTGCCCCACAAGGCCTGCACAAAACGAAATGAGCCGATGTGTGTGGAGTGCTTGCCACACTGTCATGGTAACCATTAGTGGGACCACACTTTTTCAGGGGTCTAACCTTATTCTCGTTAGACCTGGAAAAGACTTCAGCTTCTTTTAGGCCTCTGCATGCCCATCGTGGAGAGGAGGCTGTTTTGCCAATTCTGAATCAGTTGCCATGGCACATGGCAATGGTCAAGTGCAGCCCTGCCTGGCATAAGGCAGGTAGGTCAGCAAGTGGTCAGGCAGCTTAGCCTGGCTCCCACTGGCAATGGCCCAAGAAATGCTGCTGGCCTTGGAGGTGGCCTCCAGGACCACTGGACCATGACCTGAAGCAGGGCTGATCCCCTAGGCCTGATCCCTTGGGGCCTCACAGTGACCTATGCTCAAGGCAAGAAAGTGAGCCTCACAGCTGCACTGGTCACCGTTCACATGGGGGGCTGGCCTTGTAACTTCTTAGCAAGTGGAACCTGGTCCTTTCCAAGCAGACTGCTCTGGGGTGTCCCCAGTGAGTGTGTGTGCACGTGCAGGGTACGTGCAGGCACAGCGTCAATGACTCCTTGGAACTGCAGACCTGTGCTGCACCGTATGGTAATCTACCAGCCATGTGTGGCTATTTACAATGAAATAAAACAGAGTATTTAGTTCTTCAGTAGCGCTAGGTACATTTTCCTCAGCACTTTCTGTGTAGAGAGTAACTGATGTCCGGAGAAGCGAAGTAACTTGCCTAAGGTCCCACAGCAAGTCTGTGGCAACGAGAGGGCAGAATCCAAGTTTTCTGAGAAATTCACCAGGCTCCTTTCATCTGGGATTTTAACAAATCCTCGAGTCCAGTTTTAGTAACAAGAAAACTGAAAATAGATCTCAGACAGAGCTGGACCGAAGCTCTTTTGTCCGAGGAGTCAGAGTGAAGGAAAGGGAGAACCGGACTCAGAGAAGGCTGGGACTGAACCTGAGGGAGGGGGCTCAGATATCTGTCCCTCCCTCCGCCCTCTTCAGGGAAGGAAGGAGTGGGACTCACACGCTATCTCCCTGGATGAACAACTCTGGCCGCTCTTTTAGCAAATTCTTCTTGATCCAGACGAGCAGGTTCCGGATGTCCCCTGGAGAGAAATGCACAGAACAAACTCTTGTCAAACCCAATGGCACCTGCGCCCCTGAGCCTTGCCTGGCACAGAAGGAAATAAACATGGGGTTTAGAGGGCTTCTTTTTTTTCTTTTGAGACGGAGTCTAGCTCTGTAGCCCAGGCTGGAGTGCAGTGGCGACATCTTGGGTCACTGCAACCCCCACCTCCCGGGTTCAAGCGATTCTGCCTCAGCCTCCCGAGTAGCTGGAATTGCAGGAGCATGCCACCACGCCCAGCTAATGCTCAGCTAATGTTTTTTATTTTTATTTTTATTATTATTATTATTTTTTTTTTTTTGAGACGGAGTTTCACTCTTGTTACCCAGGCTGGAGTGCAATGGCACGATCTCGGCTCACCGCAACCTCCGCCTCCTGGGCTCAGGCAATTCTCCTGCCTCAGCCTCCTAAGTAGCTGGGATTACAGGCATGTACCACCACGCCCAGCTAGGTTTTTTTTTTGTATTTTTAGTAGAGACAGGGTTTCACCATGTTGACCAGGATGGTCTCGATCTTTCGACCTCGTGATCCACCCGCCTCGGCCTGTTTTTTATTTTTAGTAGAGACGGGGTTTCACCGTATTAGACAAAATGGCCTCGATCTCCTGACCATGTGATCTGTCCACCTTGGCCTCCCAAAGTGCTGAGATTATAGGTGTGAGCCACTGCGCCCAGCTAGAGGGCTTCTTCTTTTTTTTTTTTTGAGACGGAGTTTCGCTCTTGTTACCCAGGCTGGAGTGCAGTGGCACGATCTCTGCTCACCGCAACTTCCGGCTCCTGGGTTCAGGCAATTCTCCTGCCTCAGCCTCCTGAGTAGCTGGGATTACAGGCACGCGCCACCATGCCCAGCCAATTTTTGTATTTTAGTAGAGACGGGGTTTCACCATGTTGACCAGGATGGTCTCGATCTCTCGACCTCGTGATCCACCCGCCTCGGCCTCCCAAAGTGCTGGGATTACAGGCTTGAGCCACCGCGCCCGGCCGAGGGCTTCTTTTAGACCAGGCTGTGATAGCCCATGAACTTGTAGATTTCAAAGGTGAGGAAACAGGTTAGGACAGGCCAGTGACTTGCCAGATGGATCTTTAGAAAAAGCTGCACCTGGCACTGCTGAAGTCGAGGAGAAGAGGCAATGGGATGTACCTATAATACGGGGATTCAAGGCAGACAGCAGGAGGAACTGTCACATCGAAAGGGTTAGGGGACAGGCCCCTACCCACAAGTCCTGGAAGCCAGTCTGCAACTGCCATGGCTGGACTTCTGAGAGGAACCTGAAGAGCCCCCACCACCTTTATCTCTCCAGCCAGTCCCAGATGGGGAGGATTTGGCTTTGCTCTTGGAGGGGTCTGCATGTATTTCCCTTTGTGAGAGGAGGAAAAACAATTGCTGAGCTGATAACATCAATTAATTTCCTCTGGCAGAGGGAGAGAAGGATCCTTCACCAGCCAGGGATGCTGACAAATCCCTGCTCCACTCCCCGCCACCACCCCATGCTTTCAGAGCCCTCCCCAACAGCGGTGGCGGTGGCCAGAGGTTTGGGTGACAGGGCCTCTCCTGCTCAGCTAACACTGAGATCTGCCTCCTTGGGGTTCTGGTGGAGCCACCGGTCCCTCTGTAGGTCATGTGGAGGCTCAGAGCTACCTGTCTCCAGGGTCACCTCTCCTTTCCTAGTATCAGGCCACAGCACACAGGAATGTGGCTCTATAAACACCTCGAAGCCTACCTTCCACTGTCTGCCCCTGAAACAGACCATTCTCCTGGGGAGACAACTTGCCTCTGGGAAGCCAGCAGAGGGGTTGGGGTTAACCACCCCCATCTGGAGTTGGTGTCTAGAGGGGTCTGCTGTCCTGGACTAATGTCTGAGATAAAGCTTGGTCTGGAGCCCAGAATCCTGGAGTGCAGGCAAGGGAAAGGCTGCTTGGACTCAGGGAGGCTTCCCTCTGCCCTGTCTGGGCCCGCAGCGTGTATGCACACACAGCCCCAGCCTTGGGCAAGGAATTAAGCCACACTGGCTGGCACACGTGCCACCGTCACTCTGACAGGCCTGCAGCCTGGATGGTCCATTTTGCTCAGTGCCAACTTGCCTGGATCGTACGCCAGCAGAGCACAGGGCCATGGGCAAAGTGTCCGTGGACTGAGACTGCCGCCTTTCCATTTTAATGTCTCCTTTTAAACAAAGCAGATCGGTGTCTTCACGGTTTGAGCAGGCAGGCGATGGGGTGAGTGCTGCCTCCAACAGGCTGCAGCCCACTTGGACTCCTGGCTGGGTTCCTCCCTGAGGCCTGGGTTTCAGAGGTTTCCCCTTGGCTCTGAATCCCCTTGGCCTCCATCTTGGCACTGTCTGGTGGGCCGCCAACCCATACATCTTGTGGCCGCTCGATAGAGCCACTGGGGTCTGACACATCAATCAGCCAGCACCGGCGGGCGGGGGTGTTCCTGTGTGTGTGAAGGCGGCGAGAAGTCCTGGGCAGTGCCTGGCCTGCATGGAACCAGGACTCAACTAGGGGGACAGCCCTGGCTCCCTCCAAAGGGAAGGTGCTTCTGCTCCACTCTGGATAGGCCTGGGGGTGGGGGAAGGGCCAGTGGTCATGGTAGGGTCATCTGAACGATGGCACCAGCATAGAGTCCCAGAGGGACAGGCTGGGGGATGAGTCTGCTGCCCGGTGCTGGCTCATTTATCATGATGCTCCTATTTGCTGAGGTCACTCCCTCCCTCTTCTGCCCGCCCCCCACCCAGGCCTGCCCACATTTTTGATAGCTTGTTACCATGGTGAGGCTACCGCATCACCACCCGTATTGTTCCCCCATGCCTGGATTTGGGGGTGGGGAGAGGGGAACTCACGGCTCCCTTTGCAGGATGCAAGGGCCACTCGGGCCGGGCCTGAAACACACCCCCAGGGACATCTCGCTAGGCTTGCTGAGGCACAGACAATATGCAAATAGTCTCCAAGCCAGATGGTCGGCTTCCAAAGGCGCCCAGGGGAGGAGGAAGGGTTAAGCAGAGTCAGGGGCTGGTGGCTTGGGGATGGATGGCTCTGGGATAGACGGGGGCTGGAGACTTTCACTTTCACCTTCCCACTCTGTGTCTTCTTGTCTTCCCATTCCTACTAGGGGTGGTCTCCCTCCTGGGATCCCATGTGATCACTCAGGAGACAAATATTTATTGAGCAGCTACTATGTGCAAGGTGCTAGGGAGATGGTAGTGGGCAAGAGGGACACAGAGCTACCTACCCTCATGGAGCTAGAGGCCAGCAGGGGAGACAAACCATATTTAATTAGTTGTGACAAATGCTATGTCCTTCATCTGGGGTCAGGAGAGGCCTGGCTGAGGGTATTAAACAGTGAAGCTCAGGTCTGAAGGATGAGTGGGGTGGGCTGGGGAGCATTCTGGGCAGAAGGAGAGCACATGGGAAGGCCTGGGGCAGGATAAAAGGGCAGGTTCAAGGTAACAGAACAGAGCAGGTAAGCAGCTCGCATGAGATGCGGCCAGAGCAGGCGAGGCCTCACAGGCTCTGAGAAGGGGCCTCTCCCTCCTACCGAACCTTGGCAGTGTCTCCCAAGTAGGTGCTCCCTAGGAACCAGGCCCCACTGCCCAGGCCTATGCTTCCACGTGTGTCTGACCTGACATTCAAATCATGATCTGGCTCAAATGTATGGCATTACCATTACCATCACTTGAGTGGACAGCTGGGGAGGTAGAGGGAAGGAGGAAGGAGGAAGAGACTAAGAGCACGGACCCTGGATTCAGACAGGCCTGGTTTTGAGCTGGACTCCATCACGTCCTGGTTCTATGACCTTGGGTAAGGAATTTCTGGGCCTCAGCTTCCTCTTTTTGTAAAATGGGGATGTTAAGGTTGCCTCATAGGGGCATTGTGGGGGATCAAATAAGATGATCTCTACAAAGCTCTTGTCACTATGCCCTGCATATCAATGCTGTAATTACTCCAGGATCCAGAGGAAGAACCTATACCCCTCCAACTCTCTGGGTTTCCACCTGGTGGTGTGGCACCCCAGCTTTGGCGGGCAGGATAGAGCCAACCATTAATCAGATAGTGCTGGGACTGGCTGGGGTTTTCTGTGGCATCCTGAATCTTCCCATCAGAGGCTGGAAAGGAACGAGGGTACTGGGAGAGTAGTGAGGAATCCTAGATACTGACTTTCCTTCTATTTTAGATGTTTGAACCCACAAGATGTCAGGGTTGGCCAATGCTCCCAGTACAACCCAGGTGGAAGGAATGACATTCTGAGGCTGTAGGTGCTGGCAGCCAGGCTGCCCCCGGGCACATAGCATCAGAGGAGGGAGATGGGCGCCTAATACAAGGTTTCCGGGGCAGGATGCCTTGGCACCTGGCCTGCCCATTGGGGGCAGAGCAGGTGATGGGAGCTGCTGCTCCATGGTGGAGTGGTTGAGTTCTGAGTTCACAGCTAGAGGACCTGGGCCGTGTGCTCAATGCCCTTGGGTGGGAAGTCACTTCACCTTGCTGTCTCAGCGTCGTCCTCTGACAAGCAAGGATAATAATCCAAACACCAAGAGCTGCTGAGGATTACGTAAGGCACAATGCCGGAGGCAGGCCCAGGAGTGTCACACACAGGACACACTCAACAGATGGCTGCTCTGAGCTGTAAGCCCACAGTGACTTCAGATTCCTCATCCTCTGGGCTCCAGCACCTTCTAAAGGCCGCTGCCAAAGGGAGCACGCCCATGGGGGAGAGCACCAACGCGAGCTCCACCAGAATCCCTCGCCCCAGTGTACTCGCCCTAGTCTGGGGGACACTGACTGCCCACTGTGGGAGGGCCCCAAAGGGTGTCAGCCTCAGCCTCTGGGACTGAAAGGGAACAACCTCAAAGCTGTATCTGATACTGACTCGCAGGCGTAACAGGCCCTCATCCAGCCTCTCTTTGAACACCTCCAGGGACAGGAGGTCAGCTTCTCTGTGGAGCGGCTCTGATTGTTAAGAGCTCTTTTCTCCCAAGCAGAAATC